CATCGCCCAATTCTTTAAGCTCCATCAATATGTTATTATTTGCTTATATTAACTTTTGCTCTCTCTTTCTCTCCTTCTCCTTCTTTCTATTTCCTTCCACGCTGAACGCAAATATACTTTGATTGCATGCTTCTCTGCATATAGGCACAGCATTAAAAATAAATTTAAAACTAATTTCCTGTTACATACTTTGCATACATTTTTTCGATATTGAAATATTTATTCATATTAATTTTCTTTTCCTATGCTATATATATAAGTATAATACCGGATAATCTGAAGTTCAAATTATTAATTAATTTGTATTAATATTAACATAATTTTAAATTTGAAAACTATTACGATATTATAATCTGTAATTAATAAATAAAATAATATTATTTTATAATACGTGATTATTACATAATTATAATTGTATATTTCGAATTTTTTCTGATATTTTGTTCTTCAATTGTAATAAAAACAACAAGTTTATTATTTTAGTGACTTATTTTTTAATAAATACCATCGTTAATAAGTATTGTGATACAAAAGATCACAAAAATATAAACTAATATTTTTTTAAATTTTGACAAAAAAATCTAACATTTATTTCAAATGGTATAAGTTTTTAATATATCAAAAGCACCGAGAAAATTGAATAAAAAGTACTATTAACATAAAGTTTGCCTTAAGATAGACTAAACATTCTGATATATTAAAAGTGCCACAAACCGAAAAAGTTTGGATACCCCTGCTATCAGATGTAGATATAATTGTACATTGAATTATATTCACTTTTCTATAATGATTTTAATATGGACCGTAAATAATTTGTTTAAAAATTCTGTATTTTAACTTAACTCAATTTCACTTTATTAAAATATATAAATATTGTTTGGTACTTTTATTGCATTAAAATAACAAAATGATTTTTTTAAACCATTCAAACTATATATACATAAACATGCTAACTTTGGAACCATCAATCATTATTTCAGTAAATACTTTAGTTTCATATAGATTACTTCTAGATATTAGTTTGGTTCAGAGGCGATGAATCATTTGAATCGGTGCTTGCATGTTAACAACTGGCATCACCTGTTACCAGCTTTGACACAAAACACATGTTCATGTCAATCAACACTAGAGGATAAAGTTTAATGTAATATCTTATATGTGCAAATTAAAATACAATCACACAATATTCAGCCATATTCCATGTAATTATCCACTTTTTTTTTTATAGCGGAAAGACCTTTTTGCATATATTCAAGAAATTATGTTTATTACTATTATTATTAATAATAATATTTATAGCAACAAATTGTCAAAATATAAACTTAATACAATAATAAAAATGAAACCGCTACAAAGTGTGTTATGCAAATTCGCTCGTTAAGCGAGCCATTTTTACAATTAATTTTGCTTGTTAAGTAAAATGCACGTTAAGCGAGGTTCTACTGTATATTATCTTATATATTTATTTCTTTACACAAGTTATAGCAGATGTGGTAATGATTTTATACATTTAAATAGGAAATATTGGGATACATAAATATATTTTTTAAACATAGGCAACATGTTAAACAAACAAAAAATAGATTTTTTTTATATAATAATCTTATGTATGCTCGTATATGCATGTATATATTGTATAGTGTACTCTAAATAATCTTTTGTAGCATATTGAATGAAATGTGTATTTAATTTCCTGCATGAAATGCATTTTATTGAGTATTTTCGAGTCTGGGATTTGCGGTTCTGGAGGGTGGTACAGGTTTGCGTAAAGTCAATAATTGGACTTGTAGCGATGATTTTGCTTTCCCTAAAAATAATAAAACCCCCTCGAAACCAATTCAATGAATCCATGAACCGTGAACACTCTTACAGCCGGAGCACGTCATTTAACAAGCCATTCAAATGAGCGAATATTTAAACTGGCTCAAATTCAATTTGCGCTGCAGCAGGACGAAAAACGACCACGAACTAACTTGATAGAGGGAGAGAGAACGAGGTTGCGATGGAGAGAGAGAGAGAGAGAAAAAAAAATAAAAAGGAAAGGGAAAATCTATAGATTAATTTTCCTACGGCGTTCATATTTTTTTGTGTGTGTCCGTATTTTCTCTTCTTTTTTTCCAGTCTGCGTCGTTTAGGGATAGCCTTTCGGTTTATTTCTTTTTGGTGGCTTACGCGAAGGAACGACGGCTACTTTTCTTAAGGAAGTCTTTCCTCGGGGGATTTTAATACGACACGAAGGAAAAAAAGATACAACGGACTGTTTTCGTACGGTTTTCACGAGAGGCAGTTTATAAAAGTCCTTGCAGAATGTATACGAAAATTACTACACTTATTCTCTCACTACAATACATAATTTTTGATCGCAAAGAGCTAAAGTTTAAAATATTATTTTATAAAATATATTATGATAATATAATCTAAAGTTGTTCTTCTTTTGTTATTTAATTCTTATTTCGTATTTGTTTTAACATTTAAATCTATTAAATTTACATATTTAAAAAATATAGATAAAATATTCTTTTGATGATATTAGTTGGATTTGAAGTAATGCCACACTGTAAATGAATTCATGAACAAAATTATATAAATTCTTATAGTACGGTTTCCTATTTTCTTTATTCTATTATTATTTTTTGGAAAATAAAAAAAGAGTAGCTTGCAATCTCATTTATAAATACTTTCTTTATTTCATGTATTATCTATCAGTATTTTTGATAGTATGACATCAATGTGACAAGCGAGAAGCACTCAAATAAGTAGACCTATCAATTTTGACGTCACGGACATACGAAAATCTTTTCATTTATTTGATGCATCAGCGAAAGAAGCAAAAACTAAAACAACAAGAATGATAAAAAAAAGTGTGTATATAAAAGAAACGTTTTGCCGCATGGAAGAGTTTTTCTATCGTCACGGACCTCAATATCAATCCCATTAGGACGGTCCAACGACGACATGCCTGTATTACAATTGTAAAACTTTAATTAATATTTTATCGTTAACTCTCGAATGGCATAATTAACGGAAGTTCTTTCCACTTGAACTCGAACGTTATCTAAATTGGCGCTCCGAATAAAAATAATCGTTTAATGAATGTGTGCGAGAAAGGAAATGTAAATGTAGAAAAGAGGGAATTTCAATTTGGTACAGGTACTCCGAGGAATTGATTAAATGAGGGTTCGAGGACGGACTTCTTCTTGCCTGGGCAGCATTAACGACGAATTTGTTAAATTGCCCAGGTTCTGACTCGCTTCACTAATTACATTTTAATTTTATTAATAGTTATCACGCACTTACATTTTATTCTGCAACATGACATTTCCTAATAACAATAATAATTTATTGGCCTAACATCAATACATAACATTTCCCATTATTATGATATTCACAATATTTTTTAAGGAACATAATTATTATCTGATAATTTTTAATAACTACACCTGATTTAAATTTAGAGCCTGTGTAGAAGGTTACAGGACAAAAAATAATTACGTAATTTTTACTAAACTCCCCCAAAGTTTAGTACGGTTTACACGGCGTCGTTAACACTATTTAAGGGTCCCCAATTAGTTGTATATTCAATTTTCTAACTAAAAACCAATATTATCTAATAAATATTTTATTTAATATATTTATATGCCCAATTTATTCCATTTACTAAATGTTGATTTGTAAAATTTATATTTCTCGTTTTCACAGGAAGAAAAACAAAATTCTCGAGTAAATTTTTTTTTTTAATATAATAATTCTCTCGATAAGAAAGTACGTTTTGTGATCTAAAATATATAATTATATAATTCTGAATATATTTAAAAAAATACTATCGCAAATCATTCTTCTTGCATCATAAATGTGCATTACTGTTTGAATTTATAAGCGAAGTTTATTATTATTTTACTTCGCCTTTTGTGTTGTTATGAACAGGGTAATAACATATAATTTTACTATTACCAGGGTTAATAATAGTCACATTAAGCATAGTTTGCCTCTCGTGCACACGGCGTATTTACTTATTTACGACGGGAATTAAATTGAGCACGTATTTTGTTGCAGGCTAGAAATTCGGGTCCGTATATATTTCTTCATATTAATCAAGAGGTTGGGGTAAAAGCTCCCACAATAATCTCCGGGCCTAGAGAAAAATGTATATTTTATTCTTTTACCCCATTGAGAAAGCAAACGCGTAAGAAAATATCGTGTCAATAAATTACAGATGTTTATCTTAGAATTGGCAAACAAGTCAGTGTCAAAATTAATAAAGGAAAGAGAATACATGCAAGTTTAATTAATTACTTAAAAAATAGCAGGCATACTGTGGCTAATGGATTTCGTCAATATTCTGAATCTCGAAGGCATTAACATTATTAAAATGATTGTTGTTGGTTATAACTAAATGTTTTCAATTATTACAGAACTTTTTAATATATTATATGATACATTATTAGCTCATGAAAAACTTATTAAGTAATGTAAATAACAAAAATTATCTTAAAAAAACAAGTAAGAAAAATTAATTTGTCTGTATTTTAAAATGTATAAATAAAAATAGTAATTATATAGTGATTAGTCGGGTATGCTATCCAGAGTGATAAGGTATTGATTTTAACTCTTTAGTTCAGGGATGTTCAAACGGTCGATTTTGTGGAATACGAATTATTTCAATTATAATACTTATTTATATGTGATCAATGTTTGCCGCTTAATACTTTTATGGCAGATCGCGGTGGTTTAAGTCTGTAGTCCACAGACGTCAACCCGCTCCCCAAAACCGAACATTTTCTTATGAAGAATGGCGCATTATTCTGAGTAGCCCACGGGCTGCACATTCCTAAACAAGGACAAACAATTAGCAAAATAAAAATTTAAAAAATATTGCGAGAAACTTATTACGACAAATCTTTATTTATTAATAAAGTACATAAACATGATCAAGTTTTCATTGATAAGAACGATAATAGAAGATAATTTATTGTATTTGAAACATATTTATTATCCTGCCGTCCAATGAATGTTACTTCTAATTTCAAAACAGTTACAATAAAAAAAAACTAATTTATACCTGTCCATGCAAATATTAGTATGTATTTATTATATTTAATTTCGAGGGCAGAACGACTTATGGTCGGTAGCCCTTTGCAGCAGATCATTTTGTTTTTATTTGCTTATTATGGTATTTTGTTGAGTTTCTAGTATGGCCATTTTATTTAAAATATAATTGTAGTAAACAAGCAAATTCTATTTATAAAATAAAAATAATAATCAAATAGTAAGTCTCAAAGAAATTAATTTTCTACACATATGACAAGTACTCAGTCGTTCAGAACAACTTTCACATACTTTGTGGCCGCAAATAAATAAAGTATTAGCTACATATTCGGAGCAAATACCGCAAAAATACAACTCTTCCAGTTTATGAAGCACATCTTCTAGTTTACGCAGTCTAGCCTCTTCTGGATTCGGAAGAATCTTACTATCTACACTAATACGTTTTTTTATGGGTACGCGACAGATCATACAAATCGTAAACAATTCGGAACAATCAATGCATGCTAATTTATGGTTGCATGGCTCAAATGTGACGTTTTCAGACGATGGTTTATTGCAACCGATGCAATGTTTTGCCTTCTCTAAATTTTGGATCTGTTCCGCTTCGTTTTTTGTGTCAGTTTTCACAATTTTTTCATAGTTTTTACCTGGGAACAAAAAAGGTTTAAGACTAAAATTTGCTAAATTAGTAATAATTATTACTATACCTAATAATGGCAAATGATCGTAGTAGTATGTAGAACCGTAACGGAGTTTTGCCTTTTTTGAGCACATCCTCGAAGGAAGATTTATTCTAAAATATCATCATTATAAGTATACGATGCAATAATAGTTGTATTTCCGTACTTACCCAATTGATGTATTTGTTGGAAACACTGTGAATACATGGGTTACATTGTGTTTATTGTTGTGATAACAAGAGGTACAGAGGTCGTAGCATTTACATGTGGAGCATCGATATTTCATGCCAATAATGCTTTTAATGTTGCAACCCTTGCACACACTATTGTGAATAACGCCTAAATATGAATTGTCGAAGATCCTTAGATCATACTGATTTTCATGTCCGGCTCTATAGTTGTTACAAGTACCTTGGTCCCATTTAACTATGACAAGTTGTGACACATCATCGAGTTCCTCGCAGACGGTGCCCAGATTACCTTCACCTCTATCTACAAATAAGTTATAAATAAATATTAGTTTAAACTTCTAGAAGATATTAATAATTACCTTGATCGTTCCATTTCCAATGCGGTCCCCTAACAACTCTAATACCCACAAGAGACATAGTCGTGATTGATGTTTACAATTCAAAAACTAAAATATGCTTGATGAAAATGTTGTTGATTATTCGACTTTATATTTGAATTTTGTATCTCCCTACCCTGGACATTTTAAATAACCAGCCAATCACCGGCAAATTTTAATTATACAATAGATGTAAAAAAATATTTTCTACATGTGTATGAATACAATATAGTAATTATTTAGAAATTATATCCTCATTAAATAAATACAACTTAATATAATAACAACATCAATAGTTGATATATGATTAAAACAACGTCAAAAATTTAATATTATTGTTTTTATATTTTAAATTTACAATATTATTATTAAAAAGAACTGTATAATAAACATTAAGATTGATATTGTAACGTTGTAAGTTTAAAACATATTTATTTAAGTATTCTGTTCTAATTTATGTCAGTAGGAATGATACCTTTTAATGTTATATTTCACTTTGTGATAGCATAATTAAAATATGATCTATTCTTATTATTGTTTGTATGATTTATTACGTTCGCATTACGTATTGTGAGTGAAGTTATTGGCTGCCAAGCGTTAATAGGCTGTACGAGCTGTGGCATATTTTTGGGTTTTTGTTTTGAATTGGGTGGTTATTACAAGTCGCCGATATGGTACTCACCAAGCAACAAGTCAGTGACTTTGAGTCAGTAATCATCTCATATTTTAAAAAGGACTACGTTATTTCTGCGCTGTCGTCCACCATTGAGGTTATACTCAGCGAGGCTCTGAGCTCATTGATGGATGGCATTAATACGAAACTTGAGAGGATGAATGGTGATATGGAGCTGCTCAAGACTGAGAATTTGTATTTCCGCGAGGAATTGTAGAAGATCAGCGATACCATGGAGCAGAGCAAAAGGATGCAAAATCTCTGCGTTTATAACCTGCCGGAGATAGAAGGAGAAGCACCGGAAAAAACTTTCAATAACGCTGTCCAAAAAAAAACTGAATATCTGCTTGCCGCCTGGCGCTATCACAAGTTGTCGGCGAATTGGTAAATCCGTAAATGGAAAACCTCGCCCGGCCGTGATTGCATTCTCTAATTGTTCACAAAAGGTAGATATATTGAAAAATCACACTAAATTTAAAGGCACCACAATCATGATACACGAGGACCTAACAAAAACGAGACGTGAGCTATTTAAATTTGCGGTTCAGAAGTACGGACGTGAACATGTTTGGGCGTGGGATGGTGAAGTGGCGGCAAGAGTGAAAGAGAAATATATAAGAGTGGATTCCATCAGCGATATAGAGGACGACTTTTAGTTTTGGGATATATGCCTGGGGGTGTCACGGCTGGTCAATTATATTTTGTCAGTTATATTATTTTTATTTCGCTTGCTGCATATTTGTTTATTTCTATCTAGGTGCACAATTGGGATATTGTTGTTGTTCTATTATTGTATTATATTACGGATTATTTTATATTTGTTTAGGTACATTTTGTCTTTCTTTACTTTGATATTTTTCTTAAATTTTTATTATTAAAGCAAACTATCATCTGACATAGATATTGATTTATTGATTATTAATATCGGTTGGGTAAGTCTTGCGGTTTAAACCTCTTCAGTCCTCGTCGATGATCTGCAGTATGCATCAGGTCCGTAGCCAGTTGGTTTGGGAGATTCTCTAGCCGATGATGGTATCTTGTGCTAACCTTTGCTATTTCTTCCTTGACGAAACTGATGTTAGCTTGCTTGTGGTATCAACGTGGCCACACTGACTTATTGAGATGTAGGCAAGTCCGTCGTGAAAAGGAAATATAACAAGAGGCCCGAAACGCTTCTATTAGGACATCCAGAGCTGATCAGTCATAGAGTAGTAATTTCGTCATTGTGTTTGACCTGAAAGTGCCTCCCCGTTAAGTATGATTTAAAGATGGTATAGTATACGTGGGGAAGGCACTTCTTAATTTTGTGTAGCAGCCCCTCATGCCACACCCTATCGAAAACCTGAGATATGTCCAGAAAAGCAACGGAGCAGTATCTCCTCTTCTACTAATCTCGTCCACTACACGATGTACCTGCTACACAGCACCGTGACGTTCACGGAAACCGAACTGGTGGTCAGGTATGACATGGTTTTCCAGTAGCCAGTGTCGTAGTCTGCGTAGCAGCAGCTTCTCAAAAAGTTTAGACAGTTTTCCAGGTTTTGCATTAAAAATAAGTGTAACATTCCTCAGGCCAGCAGTTGACAGAACCTCTGATCTAATTAAATCATAACCTGGCAATTTTTTATATTTCAATACATACCGTATCATCAATTCAACCTCCCTAACTTTAAATGGATTTATTGGAAGCGACATTTGGAACGGAGACGCAAAGAAATACGCTTTTTGCGCTCTTCGTCATCAGGTAGTTGTGATGGGAACGGTTGGAAGACCTTAACGAGGTGGTCGGCGAATAATTCCGTCTTATCCCTATCGCTTCTTACCCAAGTGCCATATGGTTTGCGAATTGGTGGTACACTCTGTAATCCACTGATGAAAAAGTAAAGTCGTCAAACTTATCCATTTCAATTTGAATATTTTTCACTTGTTGTTTCACTGAAAGCTGCTGAAGAACTAATGATGTGTTGCAGAAAAACTATGGTTTATATATAAGAAATGGAAGGGAATATTAGGGATTTCCAAGAAATAAAATAGGGTAATTGCAATAAAATCAAGTAAATTAATACTTACCTGGTATTATTTTTATTACCTGCACAATAAAACCTTTAGGTATTAATTTATTTGCAACAATTTCTTATATATCTTGATTTTGTAATTCAAATATAATTACTAAAACCAAGTAAATAATACTTGTGTTTAGTTTTATTGCTGCACCATAAAACTATGCATTTGTTATTTGCAACTTTTATGCAACAACTTTGAAATAATATATTTAAATTTTTAAAATCAAAAATTTCTATTACAAAATGCAAAGATTAAATAAATATTTAGCTGTAAGACGTGATTATTATCATAACTTGGACAAAGTTAATAAAAAATAGAGAGTTTTAATACATATTATTAAACTGAAAAATAAATATTAAAAAGCAATGTTTTTTTATTGAAAAATTGCGCATGTTTCCAGAATTTCCTCAGGAAAAGAAACATTGTGTTTGTCATTTGAATTAAATAATAAGTGTAGGCTTGTGTGTAATGAAAAATATGAAAATTTTAATCAATCGATCACATAAAAATACAAAAATTACAATTAAAAAATTACATCAAACATATTTAATATCTTCCCCGTTTCAACTTCACTGGTGGTTTAATATGTTCGTAGCTATCCACATCGTACAGTTGTCTCACATACTCTTGAATCTTCTCAATTTTAACCAATTCCTCCTCCACTGACTTAGGTTCCACAAGATCCTCTTCATCGTATTTCCATAATATGGTTTGCATTATTTTGGGTTTCTTTGCAACTGCGTTTTTTGCAATATTATCTGCTTTCCTCTTGTTTCCTTTCTTATAAACTACTTTATTCCAAGCACTTATGACTTTCGTCCGGCACGCATGGGTATCCTTATCATAGATTTTCTCGACTTCCTCCTGGATTTGATCAATTTTAGCCAATTCCTCCTCATGCGTTGTTGGTTCTCTTAAATCCTTCACATCATTTGTCCACATTCTGGGCTTCCTTGTCTTAGATTCCTTCACTATTGTCTGTTTTAGTTTTGGATCTTTTTCCAACATCATCAGACTTTATCAGAGAAGTCGTCTCCTTCTGTAAATTGGCAACTGGTTTCTTTCTACACATTTCGAAAATATAGAATCTAAAACAATAACATTTGTTGTAATAATCAAAAATGACAAAATATTTGCAGTGGAATCTTGCTCTTACTTAACGAGCAAAATAAATTGTAAGAAAAATTACTCGCATAACGAGTGACGAGAAGTCCCGGGTTGTGCGCCTGCTACATTTTCAAAACTTGTAAACATATATTATGTGTATTTTTATATGTTATTTGTGATTTTTTTTTATGAAAAATTTAATAACACTTGCGTTTCTCCGAATAAAAAGCGAAAGAATAAAAATAACCATATATATGAAAAGCAAAATCTATAAAAAACGAGACCAAGTTATACGGCATTGAACCGGCATTATTGTATTTTATCTTAGTTTATATGGGGAAAATTGTTTCATTATACGAGTATTTCATTCTACAAGTGAAAATCCGGATATTCTGGAACATATTATGCTCGTTATGCGAGGTTCCACTGTACTATAATACACATGAATCATAAGAACATAAAATTCTCAGAAGCATTGAAAAAAAGCAATAAAATTGACATGTAAATGACTGGGAATGACTTTATGGATGCAGTGGATATTTTTGCCCCTAATTTATACCTATGGGTTATCAACATAAGTGTTAAACCCAACAATTTATTAGAAGAAGTCTTGGAATAATATTAATTAACATTTTATTTAAAATATATTTTAGTAAATTAAATATAATAAATTTATATAATAAAAATAATAATCAAATAGTAAGTCTCAAAGAAATGAATTTTCTACACATATGACAAGTACTAAGTCGTCCAGAACAACTGTTACAAGCTTTGTGGCCGCAATTAAATAAAGTATTAGCTACATATTCGGAGCAAATACCACAAAGATACAACTCTTCCAGTTTATGCAACACATCTTCTAGTTTATGCAGCCTAGCCTCTTCTGGATTTGGAAGAATCTTACTATCTATACTAATACGTTTTTTATGGGTACGTGACAGTTCATACAAATCGTAAACAATTCGGAGCAATCCATGCATGCTAATTTATGGTTGCATGGCTCAAATGTGACATTCTCGCATGATGGTTTATTGCAACCTTTGCAATTTTTTGCCTCCTCTAAATGTTGGAGCTGTTCCGCTTCATTTTTAGTGTAAGTCTTCACAGTCTTTTCATAGTTTTTACCTGTAAATTTGATAAATTAGTGTTAATTATTACTATACCTAATAATGGCAAATGATCGTAGTAGTATGTAGAACCGTAACGGAGTCTTGCCTTTTTTGAGCACATCCTCGAAAGGAGATTTATTCTAAAATATCATCATTATAAGTATACGATGCAATAATAATTGTATTTCCGTACTTACCCAATTGATGTATTTGTTGGAAACACTGTGACATGGGTTACATTGTGTTTACTGTTGTGATAACAAGAGGAGCAGAGGTCGTAGCATTTACATGTGGAGCATCGATATTTCATGCCAATAATGCTTTTACTGTTGCAACCCTTACACACACTGTTGTGCATAACGCCTAAATATGAATTGTCGAATATCCTTAGATCATACTGATTTTCATTTCCGGCTCTATAGTTGTTACAAGTACCTTGGTCCCATTTAGCTAAGACTTTTGACTTATCATAGACTTTCTGGCAGACAGTGCCCAGATTGCCTTCGCCTCTATCTATAAATAAGTTATAAATAAATATTACTTTAAACTTCAAGAAGAAATTAATCATTACCTTGATCGCTCCATTTCCAATGCGGTCCCCTAACAACTCTAATACCCACAAGAGACATAGTAGAGATTGATGTTTACAATTCAAAAACTAGAATTTATTTGATGAAAAAGTTGTTGATCACTCGATTATTTATTTGAATTTTGTCCCTATCCTGGACATTTTAAACAACCACCCAATCACCGACCAGTACAATATAGTAATTATTTAAAAATTACATAC